GTCCTGAGGCGGGGGCAGCGGGGGACGTGACGCGCGCGCCCGGGGTCGGGGAAGCGGTCCCCGGGCACGGGCGGCGTTGGGCCTGCGGCGGGGTGTCTGGGTCCCGCAGGCCGGGGCTGACGACGCTCACCATCCCCACCCACGCTCTGGCCGGGCTCGGGGCGCCCGCGCGTGGGGGCCTCCGAGCGGCTCCCCGGGCCGGCCGTGTCCTCGCCGCCGGCTTCCCCTGTGCGGGACGCCGCTGGGGTCCCTGTGTGTCCCTCCTGCCCTCACAAGGACGCAGCCAGGTGGGGCCAGCGACCTCCTGCTAGCTCATCTCCTCTTCCGAGGCCCCTCTCGGATGCAGCCGCACGCCCGGGGGCTGGGCCTGAGCACTTCGCGTGTGAATTTGGGGGACAGTCCAGCCCATGGCAGAAGAAGTCAGCGCAGTGGACAGGGAGGGACGTGTTTTCCGAGAGGGGACAGCACGGCCACCGGGTCGGAACGCAGGGCGCTCGCGATGCGGTTCGTGGGCCGGGCGCCGCGCCCGGTTCCTGCCGGCGCTTCCGCGTCGGTGCCGTTTGATCCCCTGCAGACGCGCGGCGAGCTCCCGTCCTCGTCGTCGTCGTCGTCCTCGTCGTCGTCCTCGTCCTCGGCGGACTTCACGTTCGGGTCTCAGCGCAGGTGTCCTCCTCCGGGAAGTTGTCCCTCTCCCTCCTCCCCAGATGAGCTGCTGCTCCCCGTTCAGCGTACCCTGGGCCGGGGCTGTCCTTGCTCCCCCTGCGACACTGACGCCCCGTGAAGGCGTGGACGGCCGGATCGAGCCGTTCACCGTCGCGTCCTCGGTGAACATGACACAGTGGGCGCTCTGTGAAGTCGCTGAGTGACGGGGAGACCGAGACCAGCCGCTGGAGGGCGGGGAACGGGTGTGGTTCAGTTCTTCAGCATCCCGTCCTCACCGGATGTCTCCGCAGATTAGGACACGGTGTCAGCTTAACTGAACTGGCCTGCCTGGGTGGGAGATCAGTATAGAGGAAGACAAGGATCCAGGCTTGTCTGCTGGAAGCCACTGCTTTTGTCACTGGGGTTGGGGTGGGGTGGAAATAAGCCATCTGAAAAACATGGTGGCCAAAGAGGAAGGGAGGACCACTCTCAGGCAGGCTTGGTGCTGAGGGGTGTGAACTGCAGACCCTTGGAGAACTAATCTGTTGATGGCCTGCTGAACAAACTTCCCCAGATTCTGTCCTGTGGTGTTTGACCGGTTGAGGAATTGCCCTGCAGAACAGAAGGGCCATTGCTCTAGGAGCCCTCTCTGTAGGTTAAAATTCCGTTCTGACTCTTGTTCCCTTTAGAAGCACCTGTCATTCACATCTGTCTAAGCTTGTTCTTGTTCTCTTTTCCTATATTTCCACTCTTTTTGATGCCAGTTAGTCTGTCTTTCCACCATCACATTCCTGGTATAGGTTTGTAGCACTTAGAACAGGAAGATACCTTAAAGAGTATCTAACCCAGTGGGGGACGTTTCCATTTTTATAGATGAGAAAACTGAGCCCCAGGGTCTCCATCCATCCAAAAACTGTTTGTTGAGGACCTGCTGTGTGCAGGGCACTCTTCTAGGTACCAGAGATAAGCTGATCAGTAACACAGATGTAGAACATGTCTTGCCACCGAAGATTTTTGCTCCTTGTCACAAAGTGAGTTAGCTGCAAAGTTGGAAGAGAGCCCTGTGCTCCTTGTATCACACCAGACCACCTGTGTGCCGTGCATTAGTCCTCAGTGTGCTGTGCCGTAAGGTGCTTATCTGTGGGGTTACCTGAACAATCAGGCATAGGCAATAGACTGAAGAAGCAACTGATTTGATCCAAGGAAAGCCTTTGATCTGTCACATGTAACTTGAAGTAGTGGGTAAGCTGTGGGCTTTGGAGTCAGATTTCCTGGGTTTAAATCCCAACTCGGGCTGGCCTGGTGGTGTATTGGTTAAGTTCAGTGTGCTCCACTTCAGCAGCCAAGGTTCAAGGGTTTGGATCCTGGGCGCAGACCTATACCACTAATCAAGCCATGCTGTGGCAGCCACCCACATGCGAAGTGGGCAATTGGCACAGATGTTAGCTCAGGGCCATTATTCCTCAAGCAAAAACAGGAAGGTTGGCAACAGATCTTAGCTCAGGGCCAATCTTCCTCACCAAAAAAAAAAAAAAAAAACTCTGCCCCTTATTGATTATCTTTTACTTATTAGCTGTGTGACCATCCTCTCTGTACCTGATCAGGTTATCTATTGCTATGCAACAAACTACCCCAAAACAGTGACTTAAAAACTATTTTATTTTATCTCACATTTTTGTGGGTCAGGAATTCAGGCAGGGCTCTGCTGGGCAGTTCTTCAGCTCCACATGGTGTTGACTGGACGTGGTATTCAGCTTGAGGGGGGCTGGGCTGCAGAGTTCACTGGGGCTTTGCTCCTATATCTGGTACCTGGGAAGGGGTGGCTGGAAGGCTGGGGTCAGCTGAGTCTTTCTCCTGCTCCCTGTGGCTCTCCATTTGGGCATCTTACAGTCTGACTGCTGACTCAGGCCTTCCAGGGCCAGTGTCCTGAAAGGTGGAAGGTGGAAGCTGTAAGCTCTTAGGTCCTGGGCCCAGAGATGAGCACAGCTTCACACCTTTACTTTTGCCTGTTCTACTGATTAAGGCAGAAGCTGCTCAGGTTCAAGGGGAAGAAACCTAAATCCTGCCCTTAGGAGGAGTGTTAAAGAAGTTGCTCTCATCTTTAATCTGCCAGGTGCCTCCATGTCCTCATCTATAAAATGAGGATAGTAGTAGTAGTACCTATCTTACAGTTATCCTGAGAATTAAATGAGTTAATATGTATAAAGAACTTAGAATAGTGGCTAGCATATAGGAAACATTTTATAAATATGTGTTATTAGGTGCAGGATACATTATTATTTATAGTTGTTATTCATAGGACACATAAGAAATATAAGATGCTGATTCTTTTTCTAGAGCTTTTTATAATCTTATTGAGGAAGTACAGGATTGAAGTCATGAAGCAATTAGAGAATTACATTAAATAATATAGAATAGTTAAAATTTTTATGGTCAAAGTAAATTGTGGAATGGTTCATAACTTTGCATATCATCATAACTCTAAGAGTCATTCCAAAGAATTTTTCCTCTTTATCACTTGTATATAGCTAGAAAATATCTAATGTAGATTCAGAATATTTGCTGCATTTTAACACTTAAGTCTATGGAGGAAGGTTCTGTGTTGTGTTTTTTAATGTCCTTTTCTCATGGAAGATAGCATAGACTCCAGGGTTTAGGAACCAGGATTTAAATCTTGGCTTTGGAACAAAACAGTTTTACAGTCTTGGGCAAGTTACCTAAAATCCCCATTTCTTAATTTCCTCACTTGTAAAATGGTCGTAATAGGGTTCTTGTAGCATTATTTGAGTTAATGGGTATAATATGCTTAACACAGTGCCCAGCCTGTAGTAAGCAGTCAGTAAATGATAGCTAATAATAATAAACCAGGAATCCTTTTCTTTTCAGGCAACCAATGGGGCAGGGGTAGGTAACTGATTACTCAATCGTTTGGTTGTTCAGTACCTTTGAGGACTCAACACTGGGGAGAGTGCTCCACCACCTGACATAATGCTTCCGTTTCTGTGTTCTTGGGTTGGTTAATATTATCCACTCCCAGTGTTTCAGTGTTGCTCTGTAAAGATGACATCATCTCTGGTCTCCATTTTCTCTGAATACCACTCTGATTTCAAAGCAGGAGGTCATGCCAATGCTCCAAACTCAACATACCAAAAACTAAGCTTTCCGTAAAGAAATAGGGGAACCATAAGTATACAGCTGGGAGTGAGATGATGGGGGAGGAGTGTTGGAGATGCTAAGTTGAGGGGTCTTACAGTTGGAGATGTTTAGCAGAAAGTTGAACATTTGGAACTGGTGGTCAAAGTTAAAGTTTCAAATTGAGGAGCTGTCTGCTTAGAACAGATGAAGGCCAAGAATAGATGTGATTGTCAAGGGAAAGAAAAGAGGGTGCAGGTGCTGAATCTGAAGGGACGTTGACATTTGGGGGGCTTCAGAGAAAGAAGTACAGCATAGAGATGGAACAGATCAGGGATACAGTAAGAGAACCAGAAGCATTCTAGGGAAGGAGGAACTTTGAGTTGGAGGTGGGCAGACTACAGTACCACATGTTGCAGAAAGCTGGCAGGGTGGGACTGAGTCCAGGCCATGGTGGGCAAGTCTGTTTCAGCATAGTGAGAATGGCAGCAAGGTGGCAAGGTGAAACAGGAGTAGTAAGAAAGAAAAGTGGGATGTGTAGATTGCTGTTTTGAAAAGTGTAAGAGAGGTCCATGATGAATAGATGTACCTAGAGGGAGGGTTTTGTT